AATGAAATGACCAGAACTCAGGAAGCAAATATTATTTAACACTGATATTCATCCCCCCTAAGGCATAAACTTCCAAAAGGACCCCATACACTGACAAATCTCTTTAGAGAATGACTGTAGAATAAAGTGTTTTCTGTAACTCTCTAGCTGTAACATGTTACTATTTTTTCCTAGGGGAGTTGGTAACAGTGAGAAGTCAACTCCTACATTATGGGAGTGTCAGGTCAAGAAACTGTCAGAAATAATTCCATAATCTAGAGTTGTTCTCCACTAGTTCGGTCACAGTTACAAACAGGTGGCTTCAGTTCATCTAGGAAGTCTTCTATACACCAAACAAGGGCGCCACAGAATTTGTGCTGCTCTGTTTTGCACCTACAGCTAATCCACAGCTTTCGCTCATCCCTAGAAAAAGTTCACTGGTAACATTCTTATGATTCTCACAAGCTTTGTGATGCGTACTGCAATTTTTTTTTCTAAAATTCTGATGAAAGCTCTATGAAGTATGAAAGGGATCTAATACTTATCTGCTTAAAAATTTTAAAGAGATGACTAACATAGGCAGGATAAGGTATCAGAAGTAAATACTGTTTCCAGTCGACTTTATTACTTCACTAATGAACAGCAGCAGGGTCACAGACACTCCAGTGACAACCCTGTTCGAGCACATCTCGTGCCTCCCTTCCGTTCCCTAGCTCACCCTACTTGTAGCTCTACACTCTGCCCACATGAGAAATCACAAAGGGATCGAGTTTAGGGAGCTGCTTAAGACAAGAAGTAAAGATGACCTGCAAAGAAACTGACTCCATATTGCAGACCTTACTGAATTAATCAGTCAGAAGGCTTAGTTTTTAAAAAAGCCTAATTAAGTTTATTATAACTCTTACTTTTTGTTAGCAACTGACTAAAAAACTGGTTCCTGGATGAAAATGCTAAGATTTAAACGAGTTAATGAGTTAACTTAGAAAGCTGAAGTAGAAATCCAGTGTGGGAGTAGGAAGTTAGAAGATCTGCCTCTTCGACAGGCTCCAAAACGGTGAACTGAATGTGTCCAGTCCAAGGACTATGGATCAACACTTAGAAAATTAACTTTAATATATTAAAAATTAATGATTCCTTTAACATTTAACCACTGATTGAAAAGAGTAATAATTTCTAAATCTATCCCCGTGGAACCAACAGTAAGTAGGGCTAGCTGTTGCGTGAAGTCTGTAGGTGGTTATCTCATTTCAGTTAGGTCAGAATGCCTCTTTCTTTTTAGCAGTCCAAATTCCCATTAAAAGTTTTAATAAATGATAGAACTTACCTTAAAATTAACTTCAAAGCTAAGTATGACCAGAAAATATGTTGTAACACTGATAATTATATTGAATGAAACTATTAGTCTTGACAAATAGATATACAGTCTACAACATGCTGCCAAAGAGCCTACAGATTTGCAGGACCCAACTGTTGTGACTGTCCTGCCCCCTCATCAACCTCCTTCCATCAAATCTGTAAGAGCAATCCTTGAAAAAACAATGAGTAAGACTCCAGATATTTTCTTACCACATTAACAATGTATTAGGAACAAGCTTGGCAGATTGAGTGACTGGTAAAAATTCCCTTGAACTTTGAGAATTCCCACCTATCCTTAGGCAACATCTATAATTTAAGAAAATAGCTATAAAAATACTCTCTGAATGTAAGAAGAGATAACACTGTCCTCATTATACTCTGTACACTTCAATCCTTTCCATTAATTCACAATTGAGCTATAAGTAGGATTAGCATTTACTAATCTATTTGGACTATATTTTTCTGCAACGCTCCACTTTCTCCCTAGCTTTGACAAATTTATTTAGTTTGGTCTTTCTGTTCCCAAATACTAGAATAAGAGATAGTCTTTAAACTATTAAGTTTCAAATTTCTTAGGGTTTCTGCTTTGTTATTCCAACATCCACTGCAGAAGTGCGAGGTATACTTAAATCATTGAGACCAAAATGTCTTCTACAATGAAGGTGCTTTGTTTGCCGCACCCCACCACACTAGAACTGAGCTATAATTTCCATGCACTATAAAAAAAAACGAAAGTACTTGGTGACAGCTACAAGATACCCGATCAAGTAAAGATGCTGACAGTATCAATGAAAAAAATGGAGCTGGTATTTCAGCTATAGTAAAGGACAAGACAAAAAGACCTTATCTGGCCATTTATAAGTCATTCGAAAAATCAACACAACCGAGTAGAAAGGAAAACCAAAAATACTATATGCACCCGTAATGATGTTCTTGCATTCTGGTATACAAACCCCTCATGTTTTATTCGGGTGGTACACTCAAATTCAATTTGTACTAAAGAAGAGATTAAAATCCTTTCAGCTTAGTTTTTAATACTATACAATAAAATTAATAAATTTTGTGTCCTAATGATTCTAAAGAAAAAAGGCTAGAAGAGGGACAGGGAACGTAGTATGGACCCAATGTTATTCTAAATAAGAATTTTTATGGAAGACGTCGTCAACCAATGGAGTGGGAAGGGTTTGGTGACATGTCTTATTCTTGTTTTTGGACAGCACTACCCCCAGATGGTATTTTTTATCAGTTTATGTTTCCTTTTTCCATTTGCACTTCTAGGTTTGAAGTGAATTTTCCTAAAACAAAAGTTCTTTCCTCTCATTTCATTTTATAAAACAAGTTTCCTTTTCAGATACAACTCTCTACTATTTAAAAGAAACTTTTGTGTTTTAATTTAGAAAGTGTAACTGCTTTATCCTTTTCTATGGATTACTAAATTGAGAAAGGATTTAATCAGATTTCCTCCTAAAATCAAAATAGGAGAATGACAACCCTAGGAATTATCTAGGGATAAACTTTTCCTTTTATTCAGAAGTTACTATACACATTGTCAGTATACCTTTTTAAATAAGTAGGATATGGAATAAAAAAAAAAATGCTTTAAAAATAACCTCACCTGTTTTTAAATGTTTGAAATCTTTTTTTTAATATGCTTGGTAAAATTAGTCTTTCAAAGAAGTCAAAAATCCAGTCTAAATACCTCAAACCTTTTTGTTTAAACCATAAATTAATAAAATCAAAGGACTCTAGACATACACAACCACAGTAGTCTTTTCCGCATGTGCCATCCGGTTACTTCAAGTGCAATGGAAAGCTATAGCACTTCTGGATCAGTTCACATTCAATTTCACCTCTTCTCACAAGAACAATACGAACCGATCCCAAACACATTAAAGTACATCCGTGCATTAAATCCCTGCGCATTTTCGCATAAAGAGAAGTAGAAAAAAAGTCAAATGTTCTAGTGCTCAATGTAAACATTTTGAACTATTAATTATTTATTAATTTTCCTTAAAGGTATTTAGGAGTGTGTGTCACATATTCAAAGTTAACCTTAGGAATAGCACCATGACAAAAAAAAAAACCCCCAAACATAAAAATGATTCTTTCTACAATCCCATAGTTTTACTTCAGAACTTAAGAAGCTACCATTGTCAACCATGCCTTCAAAGTTACCAGGCCAATTTTTGTTTTGTTTTTCAGATGAAACCAGAATACTTCTTACATAAACAAGGGTTTAACCATTTTGGACAAAATGAAAAATTAGTAATTAGTTGATCAGCCAATTGATGGCCAGTGAATTCAGTCTGAAAGATAAGAATAGTTCTACTGATGAAGCCTAAATTGTCAAAGTATCATTTTACCAAAAGAATTTATGTGTTTATATATGAATGTATTCCATATTTTTTTATGGATTTTTGGTACCTTTTTCCAAATGATGGTAAACATGGAATTATAACCCTGAGAACAGATATAAAATGGAAACGCTTAAGAAAAGTTTAAATAAATTAATGGACATGACATCTATCACCACTTCTTAAAATTAGGGAAATAAAGAGCATTCCATTAATCTTTTCAGGTCAAGAGTGGAGAACAATTATCCTGCATCAAACTGTCTACTACGTATGTACTACGAACTCGAAGAAGAACATAGTTTTGAAGTGGTGATAGCTCTCTAAATAACCAAAGGAGAGGCAAGGTATCCCACCTATCTCAGCTGATAATATCCAAAGAGAAAATACCTTCTACCAAGCCAAACAGGATAGATAACTTCAAAGTAACAACACTTAAGAACATTCTCTAATGCTAATACCAGAGTCTGGTGCTTTTCCATTTCTGCCACTTAATGGATACACAGTAGAAAAAGGTTAATTTTGTCTGAAACCAAATAGGGCCAATAAATAGTAAAGGTGAGAGTACTGTAACATACCCTTTGCTACAAAGTATGTAAACCATTTGAATCAAGTCCATCTTCAGGCACAAACAAGCTAGGAATGGCCACCTATACTGTTTGGAGTAGCACAACCTATCAAGTAAAAATATTTGGCTCGAAAAAATAAGTGTATTATGGTATTTGATGATGCGATAAAAGTTTCACTTTAAATGTATTATAAAATTATTTTCCAACAAAACATGACTTTCTTAGATTTAAACTCAAAGGTCACTAATAAAGATACACTTAGTTGCCCCAGCAAAAAATGCTTAAGATTGCACACGGCAGCAGTAAGCTAAAACAAAGAGATGGAAAATAACATTGAACTAGTTTCCTATATAGATGAGATTTGCAATTGCACACTTAACAAAACTCAACCCTACAATTTCAACAGAAATGGGGGGAACTATATATAATTATATATAATTTAGTCCTGTACGCTCTATTAAAGAACAAACTTTTCCTAAATCTAAGGCACACAAACTGCTCTATTTCACAGAGTAAGACTATGGAAGACCAAGAGTTTGGTTAAAGCCCTCACATGGAAACCAGGAGATCATGAAAAGAAAATTATACAGCATTTTGTTAGTGCAGAATTTAAAAGAAAATGCTAGGACTATGGTCTGGCCTTAGAGGTTTGAAATATACAATCAAAACATTAAAAAAAAATAATTTACCAGCACTTTATAAATTCAAGTTTATAAAATAAAAATGATATTTTCCTTTAAAATAAAGAAAAAGATAGACTCAACAACATTTGGAGAGAAAACTGGAAACCATTTCAATAAAAATGACCAAATTGGTATAATGCATTCTACTCAAGTAGCCAGGGAAAGAAAAAAAAGTGGTAGGTACCTTGCCTACTACTAATCATGGTAACATCTCCCATGATTGTAATGTCGGTATACACATAATATTTATGAAAAATATGTAAACACAGGTCATGTGAAATTGTTATACTACAATAGGACATGGGTTAGAAACTACCACCTCTTGACAAATTCGGAAAATATCTGCATGGCACTTGCTACCATGGAAGTAATGCTCATTGGTTTTGATAACCAGGATGTTTAGTGTTTAACATATTTCAAACTCTTGCTATATGTAGTTAAATACTGTTTAAGTAGATCTGCCCCCAAAATGAAGCATATTTTGGCACCTGTGCTGAATGCTGCTACAAAGGCAAGCAAGTGCAAATACAAATAACAGTCATGATTTAGTCACATTCATAACGTTTCATAGAAAAATATAAATATATTCCCTGAATTGTAGGACAAAAATAATTTCAACAGCCAGGTTTCACCATAAACTCCAGTCCATTTTCTCTTTAAATGAACTGGTTTTCCCTCAAGGTCATAAGGTGCAATCATCAAAATCTAACACATTTTCTAAGTTTCTGTCATCATCCCCATCATGGTATCTCACGGTCCTTCTACCCTGATTTCTCGTTTTTATTTTTGAACGTCGAAGAACTCTCTTAGATTTTGCATAGTCCACATCCTCCCAGTCATTATCATCCACATTTAACCTAGGACGCTTGCTCTGTCTTTGTCGCCTCACAGTTTTAGATATGTTATCTGTAAAAGTTTTACCTTTTCTAACTACTTTTGCTTTTCCTTTCGTTTTCCTCTTTTTGGTTTTTGTCTCATCAGTACAGTCAACATCTGATTCAGTTATAGACCCCAAATCGGAATCAGATTTGGGACTAGTGTCAGGTCCACACTCTGAATTCCCTGTTGTTTCTGAAACTTTCACATTTCCCAGTTTAGGATGCAGTCTCTTCCTCCTTATTTCCGTCTTAGCACCTTCCTGCGAGTCCTGAATCACTTCTGCCTTACTGAACGGAGCCTTCCCATAGGTCCTGAGTCTTCTGCCATTCCACCTGCGCAGCCCGTAGTTCAGTTCCTCTTCAAAGTTAGTCTCTGCAGTAGCTTTTTGCTCCAAAGTTGACTCAGAAGAAAATTTTCTAGCAGTCTTACCCCCTGGAATATGGCTTTTTGAATCTTCCTCTGAAGACCCAATCATTGAATTCTTTGTTCTAGAAGGTACAACATTTGTTTTGTGGTTATTGGTATGCCTGGTAGGCCTGTTCTTATGTTCTGAATTAAACATGCCTTCAGAGTCTGAGTCTTCATTTAAAGACTGATGAGTGCTTTTTGTACTACCTTCTGAGTCTGCTTCAGGTGGCTCCCCTTGACAGGCATCCTGTTCATTTGGCACTTCACAGTTTACATCTCCCTCAGAATCACTCACTATCTTCTTAGCTGTGGTACATGCAAAACGGAGGGGCTTTTTCCTTCCACTTTTGCTTCTAGTACATATACTTTCTAAACTAACATCTTCCATGTCACTCATGAGCTTAATCTTACTGGCAGCGGTGGTTGCACATCTTCGAGGAGCCCTTGGGAGACCTGTCTTGGCTTTGGAGGGTTTCTTAACCACCTTTGAATTGCTGTCTGAATCACTGGAACAGACCCTTTTCCTGGAAACTTTTCTGCTTGGTCCATGGTCTTGTGACGCAGAATCTAAAAATTAAGAGTATTCCTTTAATCTTTCATAGAACATTTAAACAACTTCAGTCCAGAATTCTTCATTCTTACTAACTTGGAAGGAAGATGGCAGTGAGCAGGGTGGGAGCGGTAACTTGTCAGCCTCAGCACCACTCACAAGCACAACATACTCCCATCAGTAAAATCCCATGCCTTTCTAGCTACATGCACAAAACACCTGAGAGTAAAACATTTTCTTTATATGATATATGAATACAGATTAAACTCTTTATCACCCACACTAAGGTATGCAAACTAACAGCTTCTTCTCAGCCTTCCTGAAACTCTCCTTGACTTTACAAGTTCCTATCACACCAACAACTTTTCATCCTAACATTAGCTAGCTGCCTCCTGCTCTTTAATATTTTTCATTAATCCCCATTTACCAGGAGTACATCTTAATTCAGTAACTTGTTTCACCTCTCTGTGCTCCAGAGTTAACAGTAAAATTGACAGTAATAGTCCCTATTTCATAAGAGACATCAAGACTAAACTGAGTAATACACACAACGCATTTAGCCACGGCCAGGTGGCTCAGTTGGTTGGAGCATCATCCCATACACCAAAAGGTTGCAGATTCGCTCCCGGTCAGGGTCCGTATGAGAGTCAACTGATCGATGTTTCTCTCTCCCCCTTCCTCTGTCTAAAAACAAATAATAACGTAACCACGGGTGAGGACTTAAAGCACTGAGAAAAACTCCATGAACATCTCAGTAACTGTTCTGCTAGCTGCTATTATTATTACTTACCACATTCCCTTCAACCAGTCCTACCCTTTTCTTTCCTCTTCTCAAACTACTATCACTAGTTTATAAATGTGCTTGCCTTGCTTTTCTTAAACCCATCGCCAATACAATGTCCCCATCACCAATACAAGAAGTAAAGTATTTAATAGAAATAGTTGTTAAGGCCAAGATTACCTGTTATGTGAATAAAACTAAACATATTCAATAAATACATAGGAATATAAGGGATGCACAGAAACAACTAATGGAGAATGCACAGGGCAGAGAGAAAACAGCTGGCAAAGAGAAGTTTCACAGAAAACAATGTATGCTATAAAGAAAGGACAATAAAAATAAATCAGTGAAATGTTTTCAATTACCTTTCATAAAATTGTTTGGTTTTTCTTTCATTTTGCCATCTGAATCCAAATCAGTTTCAGACACATGATCTGAGAAACAGTGGGAACCAGCCATAGGTTCACACTTCAAATTTCCTGACATAAGGTTTATTTCTATCTTGTGACATCTACCATCTTCTCTATCTTCTCCAGATTCAGAATCCTCTGAATCACTGAAGATCTTTGCTTTTTTAAGGAAAGCAGCATTCTTGCAACTTGTGTCATATTTCCTACCAGCATATTTTCTTGGTTCGGAATCTGCTTCCTCCTCTTCCCCTGAGATGCTTCCTGCCTTAAGTTTCTGCCTAGATGTTGATGGGCTAATAGTTCTGTTATGTCCATAATCTGAACCATGACTTTCCTCAGAAGACTCTATTTTAAGAAATTTTGTTTTAGAAGTTGTCAGAGTATGGGACTTATAACCATTAGCATGCCAATTTTTCCGGACTACCTGCAAGTCACTTTCTGACTCTGAATCTCCATTTTCAGATTCATTGACAGTGTTTTGGGCAGCATGAGAACTGGACAATGGTGACGACTGGTTTTGATCTTTTAGCTCCTCTTCTTCAGTCTCTGACCTTGAGCTCTGCCCATCTGCAGAATTATATAATAGCTTTTTTCTGGCTGCAGCAGAAGCACTGCGATGAGGCAGCTTCCGGCCGGAGCAGACGCTTTCCGAGCTGGACTTCTCCTCGACGTCGCTCATCAGCCTTATCTTGCTGGCGGCCACAGCGGCACACTTTCGTAGCACTTTCCGACTACTTCCAGCTCGGGCTTGCAGACTGTCACCGGTCTCCAATGAATTATTATCAGAGTCACTTAAATAGACTCTCTTTCGAGTAGCTTTTCTGCCACATCCATTTTCTAAAGAAACTGGACCTAAAAATAAAGTAACAATAAGATTAGAAAGGTCTTCCTATGTCAACATTTTTTAAATGGCTTTATTATTTTATTTTAGTACTGATGGTTCCTTTTATTTTACTGCCACAATTGGTTTCCTTTCTAAATCTAAAAGGCTTAAAGGATGAAACAGAATTGACATCCCAGAAATCAACCCACACATATATTGTCAATCAAGTTACAAAAAAAGAGATAAGAATACACAATGGGGAAAGAACAGACTCTTCAATAAATGGTCTTTGGAAAACTGAACTGCACATGAGAAAGAATGAAACTATACTACTACCCTAAACCATACACAAAAATTAACTTAATATAGATTTAAGACTTGAATGTAAGACCTAAAACCATAAAACTCCTAGTGAAAACATAGGCAGTAGGCCTTGGTGAATTTTTCAATCTGACACCAAAAGCAAAGGCAACAGAAGCAAAAATAAATGGGACCAAGTCATCAAACCAAAAGCTTCTGTACAGCAAAGAAAATCATTAAGTCATATAATTCAATAGCAAAAAAAAAAAAAGAAAGAAAGAAAAATCCAATTAGAAATAGACAGAGGCCATGGGCAGAGGCCCTGGCCAGGTGGCTGTTGAATGGAGCATCATCCCATGTACCAAAAGTTGCATATTCAATTCCCATTCAGGGCACATACCTAGGTTGTGGGTTCAATCCCCAGTTAGGGCACATACAGGAGGCAATTATGTCTCTCTCACATCAACATTTCTCTCCCTCTCTCCTTTCCTCTCTCTCTAAAATTAATACAATATATCCTTGGGTAAGGATTAAAACTTAAAAAAAATGGGCAGAGAACCTGAATAGACATTTCCAAACAAGACATACAGATGGCCAAAATGTGCATGAAAAGATGCTGAACATCACTAATTATCAGGGAAATGCAAATCAAAACCACAATGAGGTATCATCACTTCACACCTGTTAGAATAGCTATTATTAAAAAGACAAGAAAATACAGGTATTGACAAGGATGTGAAGAAAAGGGAACCCTGTGTACTGTTGGTAGGAATGTAGATCAGTACAGCCTCCATAAAAAAACAGTATAGAGGCTCCCCCTAAAATCAACACTGGAACTACCATATAATCCAGCTATTCTACTTTTGGGTATTTATCCAAACAAACAAAAACAATTCCAAAAGATCTTTGCACCCCCAAGTTCACTGCAGCATTATTTACAATAGCCAAGGTATGAAAGCAGAGTGAAGTGTCCATCAATACAGATGAATGGAGCCCGACTAGAGTGGCTCAGATGGTTGAGTGGTGTCCTGTGCACCAAAAGGTTACCAGTTCAATTCCCAATCAGGAAATATAACTGGGTTACGGGCTCAATCCCCGATCGGGGCACGTATGGAAGGCAATTGATTGGTCTTTCTCTCTTTCTACCCGCCCCCTAAACCTAATGCATGTCCTCAGGTAAGGATTAAAAAAAAATTGATGAATGGTAAAGAAGATGTGATATATATACACCCAATAGAATACAGCCATAAGAATGGATTCTTGCCATTAGCAACAACACAGAGGGACCTTCAAGGCATTATGCTAAGTAAAATAAGTTAGACAAAGAAAAGAAATACTATGATTTCACTTATATGTGGAATCTAAAAAACCAAACAAACAAAACAAAGCTCATAGATACAGAGGACAGACTGGGGAGGCAGCACAGATGGGTGAAGGGAGTCAAAAGGCACAGATTTCAGTTATTAAATAAATAAATCACGGGGACGAAATGTACAGCATGGTGACTATAATTAATACTATAGTGCATATTTAAAAGTTGCTAAGACCTGGCCGGGTATTTCAGTTGGTTAGTGTTGTCCCAATAAGCCAAGGTTGTGGGTTCAATCGCCAGTCAGGGCACATACAAGAATCAACCAATGAATGCATAAATAAGCGGAACAACAAATAGATGTTTTGCTCTTTCTCTCAAAAACCAATCAATAAAGAAATACAATTAAAAAAAAAAAAAAAAAACTGGTGCCCTGGCTGCATGGCTCAGTGGTTCAAGAATGCCGGCCTGTGGACCAAAGGGTTGTAGGTTCGATTCCCAGTCAAGGACACGTATCTGGGTGCCGGTTCAATCCCCAGCCCCAGTTGGGACATGTGTGGGAGGAAACCAATTGATCTCACATCATTGTTTCCCTCTGCTACCTCTCTCTTACACATTCTCTAAAAAAAAAAAAAAAAAAAATAGAAAAAATATCCTCAGGTGAGGATTAACAAAAAAAAAAAGAAGTTGCTAAGAGAGTAAATCTTTAAAGTCCTCATCTCAAGAAACAAAATGAGCCCTGGCCGGTTTGGCTCAGCGGTTAGAGCGTCGGCCTGCGGTCCTGAGAGACCCGGGTTCGGTTCCCGCTAAGGGCATGTACCTCGGTTGCAGTTTGTCCCCGGCCCTGGTCGGTTGTGCGGGTGGCAGCCACTCGATGTGTGCCTTTCACATCGATGTTTCTCTCTCTGTCTCTGTTCCTTTCTCTTCCCCCCACTCTACCTGAACAAAAAATGGAAAAATGTCCTCGGGTGAGGATAAAAAAAATAAATAAATAAATAAATAAAAAAAAAGAAAAGAAACAAAATGAAAAAAAAATTTTGTACCTATATGTGGTCATGGATGGTAACTAGACTTGTGGTCATTTCACAATGTATACAAAGATCATTATGTTGAACTCCTGAAAGTAATACAATGTTGTATGTCAATTACACCTCAATTTTAAAAAACAGCCTAAAGGACATTTAATCACATGTAGATATATTAAATCAATAAACCATTCAATTGTTTAGCTTTTGAATCCTCTTGATATACATTTCTCCAAAGCACTAGTGAGAGTCTCTTACCAGGCTTTCTTTGAGCAGCTCTGGTTCTGGTCATTCTGAGATTGCTGCTTCTGGCCAGTCTACTGCGTAAAGAGGGTACACAAGCTCTTGAACTCTCTTTGCTTTCCTCTGAACTATCTGAAGCTGAGGATGCTGAAGAGCTACCTAAGGAATCTTCCATTTCACTTTCTAAGAAAAATAAAGCATCAACATAACAGTTCATTACATATATTCTCTTATCTTTACACACGTAAACAGTTATTTTATAATAAAAGACTTAAAGCAAATTCTTAAAATACTTATTAGTGTATCTTTTTTGAACTTGTCTGAAAAAAACAGTTGATAAAATTTTTGCTATTAAAAGGTACATAATCAGCCCTGGCCGGTTTGGCTCAGCGGTTAGAGCGACGGCCTGCGGTCCAGAGACCCGGGTTCGGTTCCCGCTAAGGGCACGTACCTCGGTTGCAGTTTGTCCCCGGCCCTGGTCAGTCGTGCGGGTGGCAGACACTCGATGTGTTCCTTTCACATTGATGTTTCTCTTTCTCTCTCTCTCTCTCTCTGTTCCTCTCTCTCCCTCCCACTCTACCTGAACAAAAAATGGAAAAATGTCCTCGGGTGAGGATTAAAAAAAAAAAAAAAAAAGGTACATAATCAGCCCAGCTGGTGTGTCTCAGTGGTTGAGCATCGACCCATGTACCAAGAGGTCGCCAGTTCATTTCCCGGTCAGGGCACATGCCCAGGTTGTAGGCCAAATCCCCAAGTAGGAGGCATGTGGGAGGCAGCCAATCAATGTTCTCTCTCATTGATGTCTCCATCTCTCTCTCCCTTTCCCTTCCTCTCTCTCTCTCAAATCAATAAAAAAAATTTTTTTGTAAAAAAAGGTACATAATCAGCATTCCAAATCAAAGTTTGTTCTTCTCTTATTTCTGAAATTAACATATTACTCCTGGTTTGGATTCAGAAAATATAGTTTATATACCTAATAAACTTCCATTGAAAAATTTAATTAGCCCCATTATCTACTTCCTCCTGTATGTGAAACAGGCATTTCCAACAGAAAAGACACTAGCATTTCAGGTCCGGCAATTCTCTCCAGTAGCCCTTCCCAACAGTATAGTTGTATCTTTCAACTCATGCTTAAAAAAGGAAAAAGTGAGCCGGTCGGTGTGACTCAGTGGTTGAGTGTTGACTCATACACCAAAAGGTCACTAGTTCGATTTCTGGTCAGGGCACATGCCCAGGTATGGAGCAAATACCCAGTAGGGGGCATGCAGGAGGCAACCAATCGATGTCTCTCATCGATGTTTCCATCTCTCTCTCCCTCCCACTCCTTTCCTCTCTAAAATCAATAAAGAAAAAAAAATTTTTTAAAAGGAAAAAGTGAGATAATTTAAATAATGCAGGTCATTTCCTCCCTCTCTTTCCAATAAACAAAGGTATGCCCCAGTGTGAGCACAAGACTGGAAACCCCCATTTCCTGTTCCTCCATTCAGACTCACTTCTTACGTGCCTATACAGAATAAAAACTTCATCAAAATGACTGGGTACATACTGTTAAAAGACAAAATTTTACACCATAACACAACCCAACTCCATGTTAAAGAACAAAGTGGCAGTGTTAGGAAAATGTCAGTCACCAAAACGTTTCTTCCTTTGAAGTTACTCTTGTTTGTCCACTCTGACTGCTCCTACTCTGTTACACTACTCTCTACGTTGACTGTTTCCAGACTCTTCCTCTTCTCTGCATGCATATCACTGCCATATTGATTCATTTTCTTAAAACAGAATTCATCATGTGACTCCCTTACCCAACAAGGGACCCAATTAAGTCATCCAAACTCTTCTGCAAAGCTTGCCAGTTAATAAAACATGGCTGCATTCTTCCTGTTTGATCCTACTACTTCAAATCACAACAGTAATTATTACACTATCATCACAATTCACCAAAATCACTCAGAGCAATACCAAAGCACACAAACACCACAGCCTCATGCACACAATGCTAGCAAAGGGTTAACATCAGCTAGTCATACTACCAAATAGCAATAACATATACAGCTTAGAATTTACTAGGTCATCAGCTTCAAACTTACATCATGCCTTTTTTTTTTAATTCAAAGAAATACAAAAATGTCAAATTTTGCATACAATGTGTGATATTTATGTCACATTTAATATGTGGAGGATTCAAATTTGTATAAAATGTGGCAGTATCCTTTGCAAAGAACAGTCCTAATCAAACATATTCTAATTGTTCCATGTTTGTTACTTTGGTCTCTTCCATTGAATTTTAAGTTGTGAAGACCACATCTTATTTATTCCTTCCTATAACCCTATAGTAACTAGCAATATTACACACGTGAGTGCTCAACAGTTGAATAACATTCTACTTCTCACCAGATAACGTAGAACCATTTGTCAGAGTGACAGGTCTATTTCTTCTCGTTCTTTCTGATGATCCTGTTGAATCTGAAGAGTCCCCGGAAGTAACACCCGAAGAGACACTAGCACTTGTCTTGTGTCTTGCAGAATAAGCTGCCTGACTCGAGGTAGACTGGGTAGGAGAACCTACCAACTCAGGAGTTACTCTTGTCTGAGATTTTAAACGCTTCTGTTTGATATTTCTGGTCAAAGATATGAACAAAAGAAGTAATATTTAACAAAACAGAAAATGCCTAAATAAAAGTGTATTATTACTTTGAGAATAATTTTAGATCAAATAATTAAAATATTCATTATTAACATCTTATTCTGGCATGGATTACTATTAATATTCTTAATCTAAATTTGATATTGTTTGATTACAAACTGGAGTAATGAACAAATAATCCAAGTAACAGAGTTACAGAAAATCACACTGAATACCTCAGGTTCTTTGGATTAAATGCTTAGGGGAGTCAACACTTACGTAGTATAGGCATTTTTCACATGATGACTCTGAACCAGTATGACTCAACTTTCTCTCTAGTTTCCTATTTATGTTACTAAAAAAAGTATAAGATTAAGAGGCGAAATCAACAAAACCTGAACAAGACAGGCAAAAAGGGGTTGGGGAAGTAGGAGAAGGTAAAGGGGGAATAAAAGGTGATGGAAGGAGACTCGACTTGGGGTGGTGAACACACAATATACAGATGCTGTATTATGGAATTATACCCCTGAAACCTACATAATTTTATTAACCAATGTCACCCTAATAAATTATATTTAAAAAAAGAACAGAGAGGCAAAAAAGAGATCAGAACAAGCTTAATTTCTTTTCTAAGACACTAAGTGCCAATTCACCAGGTTTGGCCCCTGAGCCATGGATTAAGGGGAAAAACAGTGCAAGTTTAAAACAAGATAATCTTTGGATTTACATTATAGATCTGGGCAATACACATGTTGAGATAATACTATTTCCCTTTAAAACAAAAAGATAAAGAACTTTTTAGAAACATCTAAAGCATTTGAACTAAAAGGTAACCATAATCCTTTAAAGCAGTAATTGTTTGTATCATCATAATCTGGAAAATTCAGCCCAGCAGGTGTGGCTCAGTGGATTGAGCATCATCCCATGGACTCAGAGGTTCTGGTTCAATTCCCGGTCAGTGTACATGCCTAAGTTTTGTACATGCGCCCAATAGGGCTGTGCAGGAGGCAGCAGATCGGTGTTTCTCTCTCATCATTGTTTCTATCTCCCTCTCTAAAAAAAAATCAAGAAAACTATATTAAAAAGAAAGAAAGAAAATTCAAGCTTGTTATGTCAAAATTTTCACTTCTATTAATATCAACTGGAGGGTAGATCAGTAAATACAAAAATCATTATATGCTTCTACTTAATTTTTAACAGTGGACAAGTTGGTAATATCTCAAAGGAGAAAGCTTTCCCCTCTTATCCTATGTTCTTATGAACTGTTAAAACTCTTTCTTGGTTCAAAGAGTAAGTAAAGTTTTTAAAAATAATAAGCCCTGGCCAGTGTGACTCAGTTGGTTGGGTATCATCCCCATGCACCAAAAAGTTGACGGTTTGATTCCCGGTCCGGGCACATGACCAGGCTGCAGGTTCAATCCCCAATAGGGAGTGTGCAGAAGACAGCTAATTGATGTTTTGCTCTTACATCAATGTTTCTCTCTCTCCCTCTCCCTTCCTCTCTAAAAAAAAGTTTAAAAAATTTAAAAATGAACATAAAAATAAAAACTCACACAATAATAGACAAACCTGTCCGGCCAGTGTGGCTCAGTGGTTGAGCATGGACCCACGCATCAAGAGGTCGCCGGTTCGATTCCTGGCCAGGACACATGCTCAGATTGTGGGCCTGACCCCCAGTGAGGGGTATGCAGGAGGCAGCCAATCGATGTTCTCTCTCATCAACGTTTCTATCTCTCTCTCCCTTTCACTTCCTCTCTCTCTAAAATCAATAAAGAAAAAAAATATTAAAAAAAAAAAAATAGACAAACCCAAACTGAGGGTTATTTTACAAAATAAATGACCTCTAGTCTTAAAAAATGTCAATTAAGAAGACAAAGGTTACAAATAAAATTCCAGATTAAAAAAGACTAAAGAGACAGAGCAATTAAATGCCAATGCATGATCCAGATTAAGGGAAAAAAAATGCCCTGAGCACATTATTGAGTCATCTGTAGGATTACAAATAAGGTGTGGTTAAAACCGATTCTTAGCAAATCCACACCAAGTATTTAGGGGTAAAGAAGCATAATGTCAGAAATATTCTTTTGAATGATTTAAAAAAAAAAAGAAACATTAACAGAATATAAAGAGTATACAGGAGTTCTCTGAATTATTCTTCAACTTTTCTATAAATTTGAAATTATTTCAAAATGAAAAGTTAGAAAAAAAAAGGTAGGGGAGTACTCATAGTACTATGTACTTTATGTACTCCATTTACAAGTCACAAAGCAGCTGAACAGGTTTACTGAATGAGTATGTTTATCTGTTTTCAAGGAGGGTCTGTTATTCTTAACATGGGGGGACAGAGATTCAATGAAGATGTCAGCAAATCATCTCACCCAAAAAGCAAAAATATGACTGGCAAAATAATCCAAAGCAACCATTTCAGAACTCAAAAAAAACTAAGGCATGTAACCAAGTAAAAAGTGTTTACTGCCCTGGCCAGTTTGGCTCGGTGGTTAAGAGTGTCAGCCCATGGACCGAAGGGCCACAGGTTCAATTTCTGGTCTAGGGCACATACCTGGTTTGCAAATTCAATCCCAGCCCTGGTTGGGTTCATGTGGGAGGAAACCAATCGATGTAGCTCTCTCACATTGATGTTTCTCCCTCTCTCTCCCCCAGTCTCTCTCCCCCCAACTCTGTCTAAAAATCAAGAGAAAAATATCCTGCAGTGAGAATTAAAAAAAAGAACTTCTGCCCTAGCCGGTTTTGCTCAGCGGTTAGAGCATCAGCCTGCGGTCCCGAGAGACCTGGGTTCAGTTCCCGCTAAGGGCATGCACCTTGGTTGCAGTTTGTCCCCGGCCCTGGTTGGTCGTGCGGGTGGCAGCCACTCGATGTGTCCCTTTCACATCGATGTTTCTCTCTCTCTCCCTCCCTCCTACTCTATCTGAACAAAAAATGTCCTCGAGTGAGGATAAAAAAAAAAAAAAAAAAAAGAACTTCTGAATCTACCTAAAAACAGTGGTATCTGCTCCCAGTGTCTGTCTGTCTGTCTGTCTGTCTGTCTCTCTCTCTCTCACACACACACACACACACACACACAAATTCTGTGATATGACAGTCTTGAGGTAGAGTGAGCTGACCTGGTATGGGAGCTCCACAGAGAAGCTTTAGACCCAAGAGCACTGAAAGTATTGCTGACAATTCAGTAAGGCCTAAGGTTGTGTAATGGCTGGAGCAAGAAAGTTCAGCCAGAAATTTAAAGAAGAGATTTAGTGAATGAGATAGTCTTAGGAGTCTTTAAAACATCTTCCTGGGGATGTGTAAGATTCCACACAATATTTTAAGACTAAAACTAATCCAGTTACTGCTTAAACTGGGCTGACCTTGAGACTCATATCTGGTAAAATATAAGCAAAAAAGGCCCAGCTGGTGCAGATCAGTGGATCTAACGACTTCCCATGGACTGAGAGGTCCCAGTCTGATTCCTGGTCAGGGCACACGCCTGGGTTGTGGGATCAATCCCCAGTAGGGGGTGTGCAGGAGGCAGCTGATCAACATCTCTCTCTCACACATTAACGTTTCTCTCTCTCTCCCTTCCTCCCTCTGTAGAAAAAAAAAAATTTAAAAAACAAACAAACAAAAAATATATATATGCAAAAAACGAAGCTTGCCCTACCTCACACACGTCCCTTCCAGTGAAGGGTGAGAGCCTCACCTGAAGTGTCTGAGCACATCTCTGACCACCGAGTCATGCTGAGCCACGAAAGACAGCAAGAAAAACAGGTTCAAAAAACTACTTTTTCTTAAAGGAGCAGAAAGAAACTAAATACTGCAGGGAAAACAGACTTTCCAGAATTTGTTCTAGTCAATTCACTAAACAAAACCAGCAGCAACCTCTATCACTGAAGGAGGAGGATCAGAAACCAGTGTTTCTACAGGATGTTAACAATAAACAGCAATAATAAAACCTGAAACGTGATTTCCAGAGTTGCCCAGTTTTCTACAAAACACACAAGACATACAAAGAAACAGGAAAGTTTGTCCACATACAGGAAAAAAATGTAATCATTAGAAACTCTCTGAGAGGACCCAGATGTTGTAGTAAAGAGTGTTAAATAAAAAACAGAGACAAGACCTGAAAATTCCCTGAGCAGACAAAACCATTTCAGTCATACAAATAAAACTTAATTTAGCTTATGTTGCAACACTAACTTGACCTAGGTCATTTCTTGCCTTATGCCTTTGGAAATCATAAGCTAAACTTAAACCATTTCCCAAGACAAACATGAGGTAACCACTGAAAAGTCTAATATCATACCCAGTCGCCACGAAGAATGAACAGCACTGCTCTCTTGGTCTGTGAGGTGCTTCCAACATACACCCGAGCCTCATCTCACGTTGGGGTGTGAGTGCTCCTGGTTTACAGTCTTTTTAGTTCGTGTATATTAAACTTACTAATTTTACTTCATTAATTCATTGGTTTACTTCAGCTATTTCTGAACTTTTTGACAAGATACTTAAATTAGAAATTATAAATGTTTGAAGAACTAAATAAAATATTTACAGAATTAAAGGAAAATATGATGACAGAGAATATCAATAAAAGGACAGAAATTATAGAAAACAAACCAAATAGAAATCCTGGAGTTCAAAAGTACAACTGAAATAAATATTGTCGACATGGGCCCAATGGCAGATTTGAGCTGGTACAAGAATCAGTGAATGTGAAGATAGGTCAGTCAACAAAGATTATCCAGTCTGAAGAACATTGAGGGGAAAAAACGAAGAAAGCATGCGAAACCTGTGGGAGACCATTAATCACACCAACATATGTATAAAGAGTACCATAGAAGGAGAGGGAAAAGGCAAATAATGGCCCAAAACCACCCAAATTTGATGAAAAATATTACACATCCACAAAGCTGGACAAATTCCAAGGATAAACTCAAGGAAATCCACACCTACATGCATCATATTTAGTTGCCAGGTAGAGAGAAAATCCTGAAAGCAGTGAAAGAAAAACAACTCCACATATACAAGGGAGGGATGCCTCAGTAAGATTAACAGCTGACTTCTCATCAGAAACAATGGAGATCAGCAAGCAGTGGGATGAAATATTCAAAACGCTGAAAGAAAAACACTGTGCTAAGAATTCTATATCCAGCAAAACTAGTCTTAAATAATTAATGTGAAATTAAGACATTCCCAAATAAACAAAAACTACCAGAATTAACTGCTACCACATCTCCCTTACAAGATATACTGAAGTACTTCAGGCTGAAAAGAATTGACAGTAGAGGATAACTCAAATCCTCATAGAGAAATAAAGACCACTAGAAAAGATAATTACGTAGCTAAATATAAATAATATAAATATTTGATTTCTTAACTGATTTAATAGACAACTGCATATAACAACAAAAAGATGTAATCTATATGACAATAATAGCACAAATAACTGGGGTAAGGGAAATAAACTACAACAAAATTCTTTTATCTGTAAGAATAGTATTAAACTGAGTAGATTGCTTTGAATTGAAATGCATAGTGTAGCCCGGCCGATGTGGCTCAGTGGTTGAGCATCGACCCATGCACCAAGAGGTAACTGGTTCGATTCCAGGTCAGGGCACATGCCCAGGTTGTGGGCCCAATCCCCAGTGGGAGGCATGCAGGAGACAGCCAATCAACATTCTCTCTCATCAATGTTTCTATCTCTGTCTCTCCTTTCCTCTCTAAAAATCAGTAAAGAAAAAATATTTTTAAAAAAAGAAATGCATGGTGTAAACCCCAGGACAACCAGGAAGAAACCCATCAAGGGTATGGTGCACATTCAAACTATACATGAAAACAAACTAAACATTAACTAACTCAATTTGCACATTCCAATATTTTAAAATACATGTAAATTTGGTGTTAATAAAAGCTATAGAGTCAAGACAGAATTGAAATTAATATTAAATTACAAAGAGACTAAACCCTGTATTTTATATTTCTTCTTTATAACTAATTCTCAGTAAAAAAAAATTGGGTATATTATACCTAACAGACATTTTCCCACACACAATCAAATACTCAAAGGCCATATATAATAATCATTTAACTCTATTAAAAACATAAGGTTTCTTATGTAAAAGTAAATGACACTTTAATTCTTTATGACCTGACTAGTGTGGCTTAGTTGGTTGCAGCCTCATCCCATACACCAAAAGGTAGCAGGTTCAATTCCTGGTCAGGGCACATACCTAGATTGTGGGTTCCATCCTGGGTTGGAGGCACGTATGGGAGGCAACCCATTGACGGTTCTCTCTTACATCGAGATTGTTGTCTGTCTCTCTCTTGGCAATATTAAATAAATAATCCTTTATAATATTTTTATAATTGATGATTTTCATTAAATACTTTATAAATTTACATAATTGCAAATCAATGCACCAGTTCTATACACACAGAACATTTTCAAGACAAAAAAGGACTACTCTTTCCTGAATGCACTCTGAAATGATTAAGAGTTCTTTGCATAATAAAAATCAAAGACATCACAACCTGAAATTTTATAAAATTTCATATAAAGGTGGCAATAACCAATTCACCTGATACTTTTGTTAGCCTGATTGACAAGGTTACAATTTTGCTGTCTCCTGAACCTCTGGCTTCTTCGAAGTTTTTCATGAAATTTTTGACCAATTTTAAAATCAGAGGAGATTTTCTTCATTTTTTCTTCAAATAAGGCAGACAATCTCAAGGTCATACTGTAAATCTGAAAGAGTAAGAAAGCAAAACTATAACCACAAAGTATCTTTTACAATATTTTTCTAAATAAGAATATAATCATTGCTGTTATAGATAACAGCTCTTACTGACTTCATCTATTTCCCACTCCTTCCTTTCAGTGACATCTTCAAGAGTCTGCAAGAGTTTTTCCCATTTCATATCTACATGCACAAACCTAAAAAAATATCCCCTTTTCTGAAAGTTGATGGGCAGTTGGTTGATTTTCAGATTGCTACTTAGGCAGCAAAAAAGCACTGTCTCCTTAAGGCAAGGGAACTTTTCACCAGTCTCTACTTGACATTTGACTGCCTTTGATACCACTTAGATCTAAATATGAATTGCAGACAAAAGAATACCTTATATCCAGTATAAAGAGAAAAATAAGCCCTAAAATTTTAATATATATGAAAGATTGTGTTTTAACAATTTTTATAATTAAATAACATCAAATCTCTAAAAGAACAGCAATGTGATGTTAATAAGTGCTACTATAGGTAACATTTGGTACAACTGTGGATTTACAGGAAGTAGTCTTTACTCCTCTGCAATCATTCCTGAAAATAAAGGCAAAACTCTAGTGTTCAGCCCTGGCCAGTTTGGCTCAGCGGTTAGAGCGTCGGCCTGCGGTCCGGAGAGACCCGGGTTCGGTTCCCGCTAAGGGCACGTACTTCGGTTGCAGTTTGTCCCCGGCCCTGGTTGGTCGTGCGGGTGGCAGCCACTCGATGTGTCCCTTCATGTCGATGTTTCTCTCTCTCTCTCCCTCCCACTCTATCTGTACAAAAAATGGAAAAAATCCTCGGGTGAGGATAAAAAAAAAAAAAAAAAAAAAAAAAAAAAAAAAAAAAACTCTAGTGTTCAAAAGCTAATTATTATCAAACAACAAGTGTTGGCAAGGGTGTGGAGAAAAGGGGACTCTAATACACTGCTGGTGGGAATGCAGACTGTGGAATGTATAGCCACTGTGGAAAACACTATGGTGCTACCTTAAAAAGTTAAAAATTGAACTGCCATTTAACCCAGTGATCCCACTTCTAAGAATATACCCTAAGAAACCTGAAAACACCAATCAGAAAGAATATAGGTACCCCTGTGTTCATAGAAGCACTATTTACAATAGCTAAGATCTGGAAACAATCCAAGTGTCCATCAGTAGATGAATGGATTACAAAGCTGTGGTACATGTACATAATGGAATACTATGTAGTGTAAGAAAGAAAAATCTCTTATCCTTTGAGATGGCATGGAAGGACCTGGAGAGTATTATGCTAAGCAAAACAAGCCAAGCAGAGAAAGACAAATATCACATGATCTCACTTATTTGTGGAATATAATGAACAAACTGCTGCACAATCCCTGATATAGTAACTAACAATTATTTTCAATATTTTATGCATATATTAAATTTATTCTTTTCATTCAAATCTGAAGTCACCAATTTTAACAAGAGTGCTTTTTTTCAATCATATTGTTTGTAACCTGATTATCTTACTACTAGTTTCATACATGTTTTCTCGTTAGCTTTTATGTAAACTCAGTAAGACATATGAATTAAAAATAAACATTAACAAAAAAGATGCTAAAGTAATCAGCTCCTCAATTAAGAATGGTTCATATATATTTTTTAAAAAACACACAGTTAGCATCATACACAATGGTGAAAGACTGAAAATCTTTCCCCAAGATCAGGAATAAGACAAAGATACCAGCTTTCACCACAGCTACTGAACACTGTACTTTATATTCTAGCAAGAGCAATCAGACAAGAAAAATTTTTTTAAATCATTCAATTTCTAATTGACTACCTAACCTCACAACTTAAAGAACTAGAAAGCAAACAAGAAGAAAACCCCAGAGCAAGTAGAAGGAAGAAAATAGTAAAGATCAGAGCAGAAATAAATGACATGGAGACCAAAAAAACAATTCAAAAAATCAGTGAAACAAAGAGCTGGTTTTTTGAAAAGATAAATAAGATTGATGGACCCTTAGCTAGACTCACCAAGAAACAAAGAGAGAGAACCCAAATACACAAAATCAGAAATGAAACAGGAAAAATAGTAACTGACACCACAGAAATACAAATGATTGTTAACAAATATTAACAATTATATAGCAACAAATTGAACAATCTAAGTGAAATGTACAAATTTCTAGAATCACACAGTCTTCCAAAACTGAACCGGAAAGAGAGAGAAAACTTGAACAGACCGATAACAACGAAGGAAAATGAAGATGTAATCAAGACTCTCCCAGCAAACAAATGCCCCAGCCCAGACGGCTTCATGGAGTAGTTTTACCAAGCATTCAAAGAAGAATTAACACCCATTCTCCTCAAACTATTTCAAAAAATTCAAGAAGAAGGAAGACTTCCAAACTCGTTTTATGAGGCCAGCATATTTCTAATTCCAAAACCAGAAAAAGACACTACAAAGAAAGAAAACTATGTTCATCCCTAATGAACATAGATGCCAAAATCCTGAACAAAATACTAGCAAATTGGATCCAGCAATACATCAAAAAAATTATTCACCACAACCAAGTGGGATTCATCCCAGGGATGGCAAGGCGGGTACAATATTCGCAAATCAATAAATGTGATACACCACATAAACAAAAAGAAAGATAAAAACCATATGATCATATCAATAGATGCTGAAAAAGCATTAAACAAAATCCAGCATCCATTTCTGATAAAAACGCTCAGCAATTTGGAAATAGAGGGATCATATCTCGATATAATAAAGGCCATATATGAAAGACCTATAGCCAATATCACACTCAATGGACAAAAACTAAAAGCATTTCCCTTAAGAACAGGAACAAGACAAGGATGCCCACTTTTGCCACTCTTATTTAACATAGTACTGGAAGTCTTAGCCACAGCAATCAGACGGGAAGAAAAAATAAAAGGGACCCAAATTGGAAAAGAGGAAGTGAAGTTGTCATTATTCGCAGATGACATATTATACATAGAAAACCCTAAAGACTCCATCAAAAATCTACTAGACTTAATAAACGAATTTGGCAAAGTAGCAGAATACAAAATTAACGTCAAGAACTCGATAGCATTCTTATACACCAATGATGAATTCAGAGAAAGAAAAACTAAAAAAAAAATCGCATTTACCATCGCAGTAAAAAAATTAAGATACCGAGGAATAAACTTAACCAAAAAAGTAAAGGACCTATTTGCAAAAAACTACAGGACATTGAAAAAAGAAATAGAGGAAGATATAAAAAAGTGGAAGCACATACCCTGTTCATGGATTGGAAGAATTAACATCATTAAACTGTCCATACTACCCAAAGCAGTCTATAGATTCAATGCAATCCCCATCAAAATACCAATGACATACTTCAAAGAACTAGAACAAATACTTCAAAAGTTCATATGGAACCAAAAAAGACCCCAAATAGCCACAGCAATCTTAAAAAAAAAAAAAAAGACAAATTAGGCGGGATCACAATACCGGATATCAGGTTATACTACAAAATGACTGTAATCAAAACAGCCTGGTACTGTCACAAGAACAGGCAGATAGATAATAGAACAGAGAACCCAGAAATGGACCCAAAACATTATGCTCAATTAATATTTGACAAAGGAGGCAAGAGCATACAATGGAGTAAAGACAGCCTCTTTAATAAGTGGTGTTGGGAAAACTGGACAGCTGCATGCAAAAAAATGAAACTAGACCATCAACTTATCCCATACACAAGAATAAACTCAAAATAGATAAAAGACTTAAATGTGACTCGTGTATCCATAAAAATTCTAGAAAAAAATGTAGGCAACAAAATTTCAGACATCACACGCAGCAGAATTTTCACTGATATATCACCTAAGGCAACAGAAACAAAGGAGAAAATGAACACATGGGATTACATTAAACTCAAAAGCTTCTGCACAGCAAAAGAAAAAAAACACCAAAATGGAAAGGCCACCCACTGTATGGGAGAGCATCACTGCCAATGATACACCAGACAACAGGTTAATTTCCAAAATATATAGAGTGCTCATACAACTCAACAAAAGGAAGACAAAGAACCCAATAAAAAAAAATTGGCAGAAGAACTAAATAGACACCTCTCCAAACAGGATATACAAATGGCTAAGAGACGTATGAAGAAATGCTCAACATCACTAATCATCAGAGAGATGCAAATTAAAACAACAATGAGGTATCACCTAACACGTGTCAGAATGGCTGCCATCAACAAATCATCAGACAAGTGCTGGCGAGGGTGTGGAGAAAAGGGGACTCTAGTGCACTGCTGGTAGGAATGCAGACTGGTGCAGCCACTATGGAAAACTATGGTGTTACCTCAAAAAATTAAAAATTGAATTGCCATTTGACCTAGTGATCCCACTTCTAGGAATATACCCTAAGAAGCCTGAAACACCCATCAGAAAGAATATATGCACCCCCATGTTCATAGCAGCACTATTTACAATAGCTAAGGTCTGGAAACAGCCCAAATGTCCATCAGTAGACGAATGGATAAAAAAGTTATGGTACATATACACAATGGAGTACTGTGCAGCTGTAAGAAAGTAAGATCTCTTATCCTTTAAGACGACATGGAGGGACCTGGAGAGTATTATCCTAAGTGAAACAAGCCACGCAGAGAAAGACAAGTATCATATGATCTCACTTATTTGTGGAATATAATGAACATAACAGTGAAGAACAGGATAGTCCCAGAGACATGGAAGTAGGGTACAGACTGACAATCCCCAGAAGAGGGGGTGGGATGAGGAGAGATAAACCACAGAACTTATATGCATGTATGCATAACCAATGGACATAGACAACAAAGTGGGGGACAGGCTGGGGAGGGAGAAGGAGGAGGGTGTCAATGGGGTAAAAGGAGAAACATCTGTAACAAAAATAAATAATTAATTAAGTTTAAAAATAATAAAAATAGAATAAAAAATAAAAATAAATTAAAAAATCGCCCTGGCTTGTTTGGCTCAGCGGTTAGAGA